AAGATATAATTGAAAATTGAAAATTTTGGAATTTTAGATTAAACAAAAAAAAAAATTAAACAAAAAATTATTTTATTTTTAAATCATAATTTTCATAAATTAAAAATTTCAATTACATAAATTTAAAAAAGAAATAAAAATAAAAAATGAAATTTTCAAAAAAAAAAAATTTTTTCATTTTTAAAATTTTTATTTTTGAATTTTAAATTTTCTTAAACCTTTGAATTTTATTTAAATTAAATAAATAGATTATTTTTATAATTTATCTTTTTAATATTTTTTTTATAATGTATATTTTCATTTTCAAAATTAAAAAAGGAAATATATAAGAAAAAAATGAATTTAAATTTTGTAAATTAAAAATTTCAAATTTATATTTGAAAGATAAATTATTTTTTCTTTTTATATGAAACCAAAAAAAAAAAAAATTTATCAATCTTTAAATTTTTTTATAATTTTTAATTTTTGGATTTTTTTTTTTCCTTAAAAATTAATATTAATTTTTTTTTTTGAAAAATAATAAAATTTAAATAAATTTTTTAATCATTATTTTAAAAAATTTCAAAAAAGTTTTTAAAAAAAAATGATAAAAAAACCAAAAAAAATTCTTTATTTTCCAGGACATTTAAAAAAAAACATATATAACTTATGACTTTTTTTTTTGATTTAATTTTTTTTTCCAAATTTTAAATTTTTTTTCTTTTTATTTTAAATTTTTAAAATCTATTTTTTTTAAAAAATTTTATTAATTTTTGTTTTTTGCAATTCCTTTTTTTTTTATAAAAACTAAATATAAATATTTAATTAATTTTATTTATCATGATGTTCTTTAAGAATTTATATAAAATTTTATAAATACATTTCTATTTAAAATACAAAAAATTTGTTTTAAATTTTTTAAAAAAAAAAAAATAAAAAAATATGCACTAGAAAAAAATATTTCAAATTTCATTTTTTGATTTTTTTAATTCAAAAAAAAATTTTTGAAATTTTTCAAATAAATAATTAAATATATTTAAAAAATTTATTAAAATATCAAAGACCAAATTTAAAAAAAAAAAAAAATTTTGCACTTTAAGTTAAAAAAATAAATTTTCCAATTGAAAAAATTTAAAAATACATTTTTTTTTAAAAAATACTTTTAAAAAAAAAAAAAATTAAAAAAAAAAATAAAAAATTCTTTGATATTAAATCCAATAGAATATCTTGAAAATATAAAAAAAAAAAATTTTTTTTATTTTTAATAAAAAAAAAAATAATTTTATTCAGATTTCAAAAAATTTTAATTTTTTAAATTTTTAATTTTCATTTAACTTTTTAAAATTAAAAAATTAAATTTCATTAATTTTTTTTTTTATTTTTTTTCCATTTCAAAGGAAAATGTTGTTTTTATTAAATATTTATAAATTTTCAAAATAAATTCAATAAAAAAATATTTATGTTTTAAAAATATTTAAAATTAATAAAAATTTTAAATTAAAAAATTTAAAATTTTATTTTTAATTTTTTAAAAAAAATGTATTTTATAAAATTTCATAAAAATATTTAAAAGAATGCAAATTTTTTGAAAAGTTTAATTTTAATTTATAATTTAGGAAGAAATGCATTGATGAATCTTAATTTAAATTTAAAAATTTTTTAAAATTTTGAATATTTTTTATTTAGTTTTTATTTCAAAATTTTTATTTTTTAATTCTTAAAATTTAAAATTTTAATTTAAATATAATTAGAAATTACATAAAAAAATATTTATATTGTTTTTTTTTTTTTTAAAAAAAAAAATTTATTTTGATTTTAAAATAAAATTGAAATAATGAAATTGAATAAAATTTAAAAAATTTTGAATTTAATTTATTTGAAAAATTGAAAATATAAAAAAAAATAAAAGGGAATATAAAATCATTATTTTTTTCATTTTTAAATAAATACAGAAATATATATATTTAATTTAAGATTGAAAAAAATTTCAAAATAAATTTAAAATTTTTCAATAAAAGAAACAAAACTTTTATCACTGTTTAAAAAATTTTTATGTGAAAGTATCAATCAAAAAAAAAAAACATTTCAAATGAAAAAATTTTAAAAATTTGAAAGATTTTCAATGATTCGTCATTTGATTATTTTAAAAAAATGTTTTCAAAACAAAAAAAAAAAATTTTATCAAAAACCAATTAAAACATAGAAAGATTTTTTACATTTTAAATCTATAAATTTTTTTTTTGGGATTCAATAATTAGTAGATCATTGCCACAAAATTAAATTCCATAAAAAATCAAAAAAATCAAAAAAAAAAAGATTTTTTCTTTTAAATTTGAAAATATTTTGTCAATTTTTTTCAAAAATTTTTTTAAAATTTTAAAATTTTTTTTCAAAAATACTTTTAATTAATTATTTTACTTTATTTTTTTTGAAACTGATAAGTTTAAATTTTAAAAATGTTCCATATATTTATTTGAATGCATTAAATATTTTTAATTAAATTTTAATTAAAATTTATGAAAATTTAAAATATATGAATTTTAAGTTTTAATTCTAATTTTTTTAAATTTCCTAAAATATAAACTCACTTTTCATAAATTATTTTCTGAATGATCTTAAAAGGTTTTGAGGAGAAATGAAATTTAAAAAAAATCAATTAAATTTGGTTAATCTAAAGATTTTTTATAGAAAAGGAATATTTGATTTCAATTTGTTTTTATCATATGATATATTGATAATGGAAAATGGCTTCAAATAAATAAGCGGAACCTAATTCCAATTCCAATAAAAAATCAAATTTCATTTACGCGTATGGGGAGAATAATTTTTAATGGGTTTAATGATACAAGTATATTTTATATCAGTAAATATTTTATTATAAACATATTTACATTATTCGGACTATTGTCCTCATCTTTGTCGCCATATTTATTACAACGTTTCGGCTGTTGTACGCTCTTGGCCTTCTTCAGGTGGTTGGAATGTCGAACTGAACCCTTTATTTCGCTCACTGGGGTAGACTGTTCTAGTTCCATGTGCCATGTTTAATGGATGTCAGTTATCAGTTATCTCCTGTTAATTTCCCTCTCCAAGTTCTCCACTGCCTTAACCGGGTATTGAACTCACACTCTTTGGGTCCTGTCACTGGATCTAACCAACGCCTTTATCCACTGTGCCATGTGTCCTTGAGGACATCTGTGTATGAATTTCTGGGTATTATAAACCTAATGTCTTCAGCAATCATTTTTTACCAGTGCTCATATTGCAATTTTTGCTGTTATCATTTCATGTTTTTACCAGAGCTCATATTGCAATTTTTGTTGTTATTATTGCTTTTCTCTGGCACTCCTTATTACTGGTTCCCATATTGTATTCATTTCTATGTTTGGTCGGCTCAGGAGATTTTTGTGGCCTAGCATATGTGCTGATTCCTTAAGTTTACGAATTTTCCAATGGTGTTCTTTGTCTATGATTTCAACCTGATCCCACAGAGGGCGGTGATCTCCCTTCTCTCTCCATATGTGGTCAGCCATGCCTGATTTTTCCACTTCCCCTCGTGTTACAGCTTTCTGGTGTTCTTGAAGCCTTACCTTAAGGGGGCGGCCTGTCTCTCCTTTATATTCCTTTCCGCAGCTGCATGGGATAGCGTACACGCAGTCTTTAGTCATGTTCTCCTCTATGGGGGGGGCTCTTACTCGGGAGAGATATCTGCGAAGTAACGTCCAGCTTTTGAAGGTTGCCCTCATGTTATATGGACCGCAGATCCTTTGTATTTTCTCTGATAACCCCTTCACATAAGGCAGGCATACTGTTTTCTGAGTGTTGTTGTTCTCCTCTTGTACTCGTTTTTTGGGGCTGCTGCCATGTACCCAGGGTAGTTGTTACTTGTAGGGTACATTAAATACTTATTATCTTCAAAGAAGAAATAAAATTGCACACAAAATATTTAGATTTCGGCATTAAATAACCCATAGAGTTTGATATGCCGCTAAACAAAATCAGTCAACTTGCTGTGAGATGGATGGTTTTATCGAGTCACTATCTCTCATCATCATCATTTTGCGGCCTCAGATGAGATTGAACTCACTACACTTCTCCAGTATTCCCTATCCGTCATAGCTCCTAAAAGATCTTCCTTAGGGATCAATGTGTCTCGTTTTATCCTATCTGGAAAGGTTAACTTGCGTGATCGATTGACAGATGATGGGTGCCTCCAGAGTACAAATGATGACACAAGTTCATCTGTGGCACGTGCACAATGCCCGGCGAACTGGACACGTCTCTTACAAACTAAAGTTGATACTCTTGGCAAGTCTTCATATATCATTTCTAGAGTTGGGCGGTTTCGCCATCAGAGATTAAGCACTCTTCTTAAAAGACGTGTATAACATCCATCTAAACGACGCTGTTGTTTTGCTGAGAGAGTCCAAGTTTCAGAGCCATAAAGTAAGATTGGCTCAATAAGTATCTACACTATCTCTAGAATGGTTGCCAATATGTTCTTTTATTTAACCCATAGATGGGGAGGAGATAAGAATACAGTGATTCATGCCTTTCCCAAGAGGGTATTTAAAGGATTCGGCTGGAACTGTCCTCTTCGATTTCTGATGTCGATCTGTAATCCAATACAATTAGTGTAAGCAACACACGCATATATGTTATTGTAATAATGAATTTTTGGTTTTGGGACAAGAAAAAAATGTTTTGAGCTCTGACGAGGAAGATAACGAGGCCATGACTGATACAGATTTAATGATGGTGCTCAGTTGCTTTTCCATTACTGAAATGAAAACTTGAAAAAAGTTTTTTCGTTTTTGTAAATTACATTAATCCATTTTTTTTGATTGTTTGCAATGATATACACATGATGTAATGTCATAAAAAAAGCACAAAGATTTCATCTCTTTCAAACCGCTTTCTTAATTAGAAGATTTTACCGTCGACAAAATAACAGGCTAATTGTTAGTCGCTTGATGATAAGCAAGGTCTAAATTGATATCGTACGAAGATGCGAGATATACATCCTCAGAGGAAGCAAAAGTAAGAAGAACAAATAAAAATAGGGAAAAAAAAAAAATTGAGATAAATAAACTATCAAATGAAAGAAGAAGGTAAGTAAAAATAGAGAAGAAGAAAAAGAAGAAGAAAAAAGCGAAGAAAAAATAGAGAAGAAGAAGAAGAAGAAGAAGAAGAAGAAAGGAATAAAGAATAGGGAAGACCAAAGTCAAGAAAAGTTGAAGACTATGAATAAAAAGGGAAAAAGAAAAAGTAAAAATAATTTAACCAAATTTTAACCAAAAAAAAAAATCGCGTTAAAAAATAGAGAAGAATCAAGAAGAAGAAGAAGAAAGAAAGGAATAAAGAAAGGGAAGAAGAAGATAGAGAAAAAACATTGAGATAATGAATAAAAAAGGGAAGAAGAAAAAAGTAAAAATAGAGAAGAAGAAAAAAAGAAAAAAGCGAAGAAAAAAAACATTGAGATAAGAATCAAATGAAGAAGAAGAAGAAGAAGAACACCATCAACAATGAAATAGAAAATAGAGAAAAAGTTTCACTAAGAAAAAAAGGAAGAAGAAAAATAAGGAAAACCAAAGATTATGAAGAACGAATTAAAAGAAAATAGATAAACGAAATGATAAGTAAAAATTTGGAAAAGAAAGCACCAAAGAAGATCGCGTTAAGAAGAAGACGTTTTAAAGAAGAAGAATAGGAATAAATGAATGAAATTAAAAATAGAAAACATTTGCTTATTTAATAAAAGGAAAAGAAGGAGAAAAAAAAAAATTCCAATAATATAAAATAAGAAGAAAAATTATGGAAGAAGAAAAAAAAGAATCAATGAATGGAATAGAAAATATAGAAAAACTTTGACTAAAAACTAAAAGAAAAAAAAAAGTTAAAAACCAAAATGGCTTAATCTGAAGAAGAAATAAAAAAATGAATGAATGAAATAGATAAAAAATAAAAAAAAATTGAAAGAAAATGGAATAAAATAGAAAAAAAAAAAATTAGTTAAAAATTGAAATAGAAAATAAAGAAAAGAAATGACTAAGATAAAATGTAAAAAGAAAAAAATATTGAATACCAAGAATAGAGAGGCATTAGCAGAATACGAAAGAAAGAAAGAAAAAAAAATTTTTGTGTCGAAAGAAAGAAAAAAATTGAAAAGAGTTTAAGAAAGAGCTTTTCGCTCAACAAAGAAAAAATTTAGAAAGAAAAACCAAAAAGATGAAAAAAGAAAACAAAAAAATTTCTCTTGTCCTAATATTAGGCCAACATGGAAGCACAAGACATGGAACAACAATGATGAAAAATTTAAAAAAGATTCCTCTTTTTATGATCAATCGTGTTTGCTTTGAGCGGGTAAATGCATATAAAAAAAAAAAAAAGATCATCGTTTTTTAACATTGTAGAAAAGAACGGAATAGATCCCAAACCAGGAATTTTTACTCAAATATATACAGCCTTTAATGAGGACTACCAATAGCAGACATCAAAATGGAATTTATAAATCATTATCCCAATGAAACAATTACATAATCAAGTTACTTGAGGCGATACAGGTGGACAAATAAATAATGATATCAAGAGAAAATTATTTTTGATTCAATTTTTTTCATCAGCGACATCCAGTTGAAAGGCTTTTTTTGATCGTCATCTTCATACAACCTCTTCATTCTCTGGAGCAATTTTTACAATCAGTGCTTCAAATTTGGCCGGAAAAATGAATAAACATTTTTTCCAAAAATATTTGATTTAAATCAATAATATAAAAACAATTATAAAAAAAGATTCCAAAGCAATTCATCAAATTAAATAAAAAATTACCAGCAATACGTTTTTTGAAAAAAATCGAAAAACGGAAACCCAAGAAGAATATAATACAAATTAAATATACAGAACTTTTTTGATGTTACAGAATTTCAAACAAGTCAAGTTATGTGCCATGCGTGAATATTTAGGCGATGATAAATCTTTCGATACATGACTAAAAAACAGATTTTTTTAACAGAAGGTTTTTATAAAATTTCTGCGGTAGACCAGTACTGCCATCCAAAGCTATAGAATGACAAATCCTATTTATTTATAGCCGGACGGAGAAGATAATGATTCATACTTTTCCAAATGGTTAATAGCACGATAAATGAATGTAATGGATTAGATGAATCTGGACAATCGGTCAGTGAGTTATGTGCCATGTGTCAAATATTTTTATAAATAGGCGATGATTATCTTTCGATACATGATTGACGAGGCAGATTTTCTCGCAAAAGAAAAAGACCTAACATGAAGTAGCCCAGTTGCCATCAAAACTATAGAACTCGGTCTATCACGAATTTACCGATAAATGGGGGGAGAAAATGGAAGTTATAATTTTCCAAAAGTATTAGAAAGTAAGTGAATGTAATGGATTCAACTAGAATTGAATTGTTCGATATTCAATTAGATCTTTTGTTATCTATTATGACACTATTTGCTATAAAAACGGGCGTATTTATTAAAAAAATAAATAAATAAATAAAATTGATAAATAGCAGAATGATTCTATAGATAGTTAGATAGGATTATATTAGATAGATAGATAGGATAGATAGATTCCTATTTGGATATCTGACTATGTTTTGATAAACTAAGACACATACTGTGCCTTTTTCTTGTTGAGTAGTGATTGTCATCCAATTTTTAGTAGTAACTCACGACAATTCTTTAACTGCGGAGTAAAACATTAAAAAAAAAAATTATTGTGTTTGTCAGACTGGGATGGAAATAGTTTGTTCCTTCCTTATAGAGACTTGAAGCAACAGAAACAAATGTTAAATGTACTGAACTTTTTTATAATATCAGTCCTCCGTTATTTCGTGAATGCTGGACTCAATCCTCACAGATGAAGATGAGACTTGAAGCAATGTGTGAAACAAAGTGTGTGTGTACTGAACTGTTTGTAATATCAGTCCTCCCACTATGGCAGTGAATGCTGGACAATCTCCTCACAGATGAAGAAGAGAATTGAAGCAACAGAAACAAACTAAAAGAGTACTGAACTGTTACTTAATACCATTCCTCCTATATGGCAATGGATGCTGGACAATATATATCACAGAAAAAGGAGAGACTTGAACAACAGAAACAAAGGAAAGAGTACTGAACTGTTGAACGTAATGATCATTCCTTTGATATGACAGATGAATGATGGACAATCTCCTCACAGATGAAGAAGAAACTTGAAGCAACAGAAAAAAAAGAAAGAGTACTGAACTGTTACGTAATATCAGTCCTCCTATATGGCAGTGAATGCTGGAAAATCTCCTCACAGATGAAGAGAACATTCTGGAAACAAAAAGAAAGATACTGAACTGTTACGATAATATCAGTCCTGAAATATGATAGTGAATGCTGGACAATCTCCTCACAGATGAAGTTTTGATTTAAAATAGATTGAAAGAAAATAGAAATGAAAATATCAGTCCTCCTATATGGCAGTGAATGCTGGACAATAGATCACAGATGAAGAAGAGACTTAGCAACAGAAACAAAGAAAAGATGTACTGAACTGTTACGTAATATCAGTCCTCCTATATGGCAGTGAATGCTGGACAATCTCCTCACAGATGAAGATGAGACTTGAAGCAAGGAAACAAAGAAAAAACAATTGAACTGTTACGTAATATCCGTCCTCCTATATGGCAGTGAATGCTGGACGAATTGTCCTCACAGATGAAGAAGAGACTTGAAGCAAGAGAAACAAAGAAAAAGAGTTACCGAACTGTTACGTAATATCAGTCCTCCTATATGGCGGTGAATTTGGACAAGATCTCACAGATGAAAAGTGTTTGTTAGCAACAGAATGTGGTTCTACCGAAGGATGCTGAGGATACCATGGTGTAACCAACGAACATTTTAGAGATAATGGAAACAAAGAGAATATATATATATATATATATATATATAGTATTTACATTAGTCGGACTATTGTCCTCATCTTTGTCGCCATATTTGTCACAACGTTTCGGCCGTTGTACGCTCCGGCCTTCTTCAGGTGGTTGGAATTTCGAACTGAACCCTTTATTTCGATCACTGGGGTAGACTGTTCTAGTTCCAATTCCATGTTTGATGGATGTCAGTTATCAGTTATCTCCTGCTAATTTTCCATCTGAAAGTTCTCCACTGCCTTAACCAGGAATTGAACTCACCTTCTTTGGGTCTGTCACTGGATCTAACCAAACTTTATCCACTGTGCCATGTGTCCTTGAGGACATCTGGGTATGAACTTCTGAGTATTATAAACCTAATGTTTTCAGCATCATTTTTACCAGTGCTCATATTGCAATTTTTGCTGTTATCATTGCATGTCTTTACCAGAGTTCATATTGCAACTTTGTTATCATTGCTTTTCTCTGGCACTCCTTATTACTGGTTCCCATATTGTATTTATTTCTATGTTTGGTATCAAATGCAGGCAAAACTTTGGGGCCATCCTGAATTTAATATTTATCTCATTAGATTAAGATAAAATTTTAGATAGATAAAATTTTATTAATTACTGTAATTGTTTTTATTTTTCAGTCTTTCTCCAAGTTCCTCTTATTACCAAAATGTTCAAATTTGGATTCGTTTGTCCACAATATATTTCTCTAAATTACGAATATTTTGTATGAGACTCGTTATCTATTGTTTTTCACCATTAGCCCCTTAGTATACCTTTTGAGACTACCAAAGGGGCTGGAGATTTAATTCAGGTCAAGGAAATCATGAAAAAAGAACAATATCATTCGATTTTGTAGACATACCATACTATCTGGTTTACTCATAATTGGGGAAAAATCACCTTTCAACAAGTCACCGATCCAAAACACTGTTCTAAATTATGTAAAATTACCTCGAGTCAAAAAGAAAGGAATCAAATTTGGGAAATTTTGATTTGTCTGCCTCAATCTCCTAACCTCTCTGCCACGGAATTTGTAGGTGGTGAATTGAATAGGAGAATTCGAAGAGAATACCTAAAGCGTGAGATGGAGCTTTTTCAGTGTTTGAAGAGTGCTTGGATGGTCTGCCATCTACATTTTTTCAAAAACTGTTGCAAAAACTGTTGCAAAGAATATATAAAGCATCAATTAAATCAGGTGTTGGTTTAATTGACGAAAAAAATATGATACCGTTCTGTGATATTTTTTATATAGCGCATGTGTTTAAATTAACAACTTCGAATGGTAAACAAAGCGTTATCTTTTTTCAAAACCATTTAGTTCTGACCATTGCATTCGAGATATCAGAACGCGTTTTCGATTCTTCATATTCTCAGATTTATTCTTCAAAGCTTCGAATTTTGAGTATCATAATTCTATATTTTACAGAACCACAAATTCAAGACCAAATTGGCACTATCGATTCCTGGAAATCTTAAAAATAAAATAAAATCCGATATATCTGCCTCAAGAGGTTTTAACGCAAATAATATTGTTGCCTTCTCATTTCTAGAATCATGAAATTTGCCTTCTACAAAAGACTCAAAATTGGCATCAGCTTCAATGTTTATTTTTATTTTATTTTATTCTTTCCAAGATGGAAAACGAACCAGTCTTCCTATCTAGTTTATATCTCCTTCTTTTATATAGTTGGGTACAAAGAACTTATCAGTGAATTATACAACGAAATCTGAAATCGTCATGACCATTTGCCATTTCTAAACAACGCAATATACGCATTTTGCGTCCGCTTTCTAAGTGATGTGTCCTCTGTGACATTAAAGACAATTTTCTTAATGTCAAGTACATGTTTCTTAAAACAGTCAGTTATATCAGCTGCATTTCCGGCTAAATTTCTGTGAGGAGGAGTTACCATTCTTTTTATAATTTCCCACCGCCATGACCTGGCTTCTCTTCGTCTAAATGCACGTTGTGAAGCAGGCTCGAAACCTTGCGATGGCGGATTACATTTTTTAAGATCCTCACATGCACACTGTTTTAAAAAGCAAGATATCTACTCAAATGATTGTATCTACTAAAATATAACGTTTCATGTAATATACATAACTATCTCTATCTATAAAAGGCAGGATGTGTGTGTGTGTGTGTGTGTGTGTGTGTGTGTGTGTGTGTGTGTGTGTGTGTGTGTGTGTCTTGGTGTGTGTGTAACGAATGCACGGCCGCAATTTTCGACTTATTGCACCAAAATTTACATGCACATGTTCCAAGTTAGCGGGAAGGCCAAAACCGACTTTGCATTTCCTAACTCCCATCGATAGTTTTCATGCTTCTACGGCAGTTTTCATGTAATTTGTGGCCATTTTGTACTGGCCAGAGTGAGAGCCAATAGCTGGCTGCCACAAATAGGCAGGAAGATTCTATTGGCCAGCGTGAGAGCCAACAGCTGACTCACACGAATGTTAACTAGCATGTTAGCATGCAAAAATAATCGATAACTGCATTCGTCACAAGTGGGAAAAATTTAAATCTGCATGGCACTTTACTCCAATTGTCTCATTCGCTTTCTTAAACTCAACGTTGATTCTGATTCCGCAGAACTGGGTTAGGTGTGAAAAAGTATTTGTTGTTAACGTTTTTTTTCATTCGGTTTTTCCAGTTGCGAGTCCTTTTTTAAAGCTGATCGTTTTGTGTTCATTTTGTTTAGTTCTTTTTTCGTAACAGATTTAATGTTTAGTATAGAGCTTAGAAAGAATTCGCAGTGTGAGATAGGCAAGAAGTAAGTCATCTAGCAACATCAGCACGTCAAAGGGAACTCCTTTAAAAGCAAGGAATGGCAAACATATTTTAAGTCAAGTGATAGCGATTGCTGTATGAGTCGTACGATGTTTTAATCAAGCACGGGCAACGCCGGGCCATGCTGCTAGTGTATCTACTAAAATATAACGTTTCATGTAATATACATAACTATATATATATATATATATATATATATATATATATATATTGACCTCTGTGTACACACTTATATTTACACACACAGTTACATATTCTAGATATTGAGCATTTTTACCTATAAATATAGCATACCTAAAAACTATATTTCATAATAGATATATATAAGTAAAAAAAAATATTAAGAGGATTTGAAATAATCATAATTAAATAAAGTCTAAATAAAGTCTAGAAGAAACCTCAACATAATGCAGAAAGCAGTGGACGGCTGTTTCGTCCTATATTTGAGACTCATCAGCAGTGCGCACCCACTAACCGAGAATTGAAACCCGGACAGTTATGATAGGAGGAAAACGTCATAGCAACTGCTGATGAGTCCCAAAATAGGTTGAAACGGCCGTCCATTGCTTTCTGCAGAGGTTTCTTCTCGACTCGAGGAATTACTTAGTTATAATTATCTCAACTCCTTTGTATATCCTTGCTTGAACCGGCTTCTAATGCTCTCGATGGAGTGGCTTGGGGATAGTTGTCGTGGCTCGTGGGGGCACAGTCCTATGAGTAAGTGAAACTTGGATGAGTTCCACCACGGAATATTTGATCGAGCAGCGCTATATCGAGTCTAATTCGTTACATCTTAGTCACCGAGGCCCGTTGGATGGGCCATAACCTAAAAATATTTTATCAAATCCAATGAATAGGAAAAGAAAGTGTTATATATATATATATATATATATATATATATATATATATATATATATATATATATATATATATGATAGAAATTAAGGAGGATTTGAGATAATTATAATTAAGTAATTCATAGTCTAGAAGAAACCTCAACAGAATGCAAAGGACGGCCGGACTCATCAGCAGTGCGTATCTACTACCAATAATTGAAATCCAGACAGTTACGATATGAGGCAAACGCCATACCAACTGTACCAACTGGCTTCAGTGAATAAAGGGTAACGAATTAGACTCGATATTGCGCCGCTCGTTCACATATTCCGTTTCCCTTACCCATAGGACTGTGCCCCCGAGAGCCACTACTAGTATCCCAAAGTCGTTCCATCCAGAGCATTAGAAGCCGGTTCAAGCAAGGATGTACAAATGATAGAAATTATTAGGAGCATTTGAGATAATTATAATTAAGTAATTCATCATGTCTAGAAGAAACTTCAACAGAATGCAGAAAGCACTGGACGGCCGTTTCGTCCTCTATTTGGGACTCATCAGCAGTGAGCATCACACTACTAAGAATCGAACACAGACGGTTAAGACACGACGTAAACGCCATACCAACTGTATCAATGGGCTTCGGTGACGGAGAGGTAACTAATTAGATTCCCGGCAGTGGATGTGCACCGCTGATGAGTCCCAAATAGGACGAAACGGCCGTCCAGTGCTGTTTGCGTTCTGTTGGGGATTCTTCTAGATTCGCCGAATTATTTAATTAAGAGGTGTGGTAGACTATGCCAAAGGAATTTCTGTGAAAGATAAAAGCAACGAACTCAATCAGAATTTGAACACGGTTCGACTATTGCACTTTCTGTGACGATATCCGTCACATTACTCTTACATACGTATTTTATTTTTAAACTTCAATAATCGCATTATCGATTCGACAGGAGTAACCTAAAAATTACTGCTGCGCCTATTGTCAGCCTTGAATAAAGACTGAGAGTGGTGTTGTGCATCATTATTATTATTATTATTATTATTGTCGTACGCACGAATCTATTCGCTTCAATCGTTTTATTTTTTTTTGCATAATTCACAATAGTGAGTGCCTGTTCGCTCCAATACGTAATCTCTCCCTGCATACGTTTACGTCTTAGTGAACGTATATAGAATTTTGACCAATAAAGTACTCTCAGTGCATTCTGGGATATATTTAACCTAAATTGAACCATAGATAGCCATTTTAATTCTGTGTACTTGATGCAAAGTTCAACTCAACTTGAAATATATATATATATATATATATATAAGTGTTTGTGTGTGTCAAATTTCATATAGAATATATCTGTAAAAAGGACAATATGAATAAGAAATATATATATATATATATACATGCGTATATATATATATATATATATATATATATATATATATATATATATATATATATATATAGGGAATATCTGTATAGAATCTACTGGAATCGATTTCCATTGCAGAGCTGATTTGGGGTTTGGTAAGTGCATATTTTGCAATGGTAGCAATACAAAAAAAAAATTCCAATAAAAGAAAAACATGACTTCGTTAAAATAAGCAGATTAAAAAACAAAACAAAAAGAAAACGAAATTCTTGGAAATCGACTGACGATCTCGTCTATTAAGTCGAATGGCAAATTCACGTATTTCATGAGTAAAAAGCGCATAGAAATATCAATGCATTGAAAGATCAACATCTCCCCACATTCATTTCTCTGAACGTTAATATTTAAGCCGGACTCATATATATATATATATATATATCAGGCGAACCTAAGTATTAACGGCTAATCAGTTCATCATGAAATGTTCTCGGCCTGACCAAGAACGAATCATAAAAAAATATTCTATCATTTTATCAATTTTCTTTCGTGAATGGATGCAGCTAAATTTTCAGCACCCGATCGGATAGGTACGTTAAAATATAAATTCCCATTTTTTTTATTTTAAACGAGAAATATTTTCTTTTCAGCCCAAGCTCCATCCTTGATAATGCATTTAATTCACTGATTAATATTTATCACACTTTTTAAATCAAAAATCATCGAAATACAATATGTCAGACTACAAATTTGTTGATCGAATAAAAAGAAAAAAAAAGAGCATTCTTGTCATATCTGGGCTGGTGCTGCCCACAACACTCTGTCCAGCCTTGATAGTGTTCAAAAGCGTCTACGCCGCCTAGTGGGTGATGAATTATTTTCCACTTTTCGAACCCTATCCTACAGACGAAACGTTGTTAGCTCCTCGCTGGTTCCCACGCCAAATGCACAGACTCGCTACATACCTAGTTCAGACATTCACAGCGATGACCAACCATGCCGGGTATAATGAGTTGACACATTTTCATTTCTTTCGTATTCCAATGGTAAGGAAGAAATTCTACTCAGAACGAGCACATTGTGGAACAGACTCCCGCCTAAATACTCACCGAGTGAATCATAACATTTTCAATTCTAGGGTCAACGATTATCATCTATCATATATATATATATATATATATATATATATACGCACACACATATATATAAGGATTATTTATTCATATTGTCCTTTTACAGATATATTCGATATGAAATTTGAGAAAAACACAAACATATATATATATATATATATATATATATATATATATATACAGACACTAGGTCTTGTACACTCTTACAACTTCATTCAGCAACACGTTAAATTCAGTGGCCTTATGTTGGGTGAACAAAAAATACAATGACATTTATATTCGTATATATAAATATATATGTGCGTGTATAGATAGATAGATAGATAGATAGATAGATAGATAGATAGATAATCAATGGTTTGAATATGAATAAACTGAGATAGATAGATAGATAGATAGATAGATAGATAGATAGATAGATAGATAGATAGATAGATGTGAATTGACTGAGACTGATAGATCGAGAGATAGGTGTGAAAAGAATATTATAGCTAAAAAAATATGAACAAATAATAGATAGATAGATATTAATAGTCTGATAAAGATAGAAAATTATGAATAGACTGTGATAGATATGAATAGACTGAGATAGATAGATAGATAGATAGATAGATAGATAGATAGATAGATGGATAGATGTTATGTGATGTAACGCACGTCCTAACTTTTAATAACTCCATTTTCCAATAAATGTATATTAAAAATGGAATCATGAAATTAAAAAAAAATCTTAATTCGATTCCTGTTAACAAAAACTGCAACCCTAACAATAATGTTTATCTTTTAAACGTGGCGTTGCCTGACACAGAAAGCATGTCTTTTTTCTTGAATATTCAATTATTAAGACGACACCAAGTGTTGCAACCTCCCGCTGAGAAGAAAATAACCCTGTTCATAAAAGGACCTCCTTTTTCTGCACGCCAATTTCTTTCAAGGAATAGCTTATTTATTCATAAATTGATTCAATTTTTATACTATTTTATATATATATATATATATGTGTGTGTGTGTACATGTGTGTTTGTGTGAATTTACATCCTATATAAATTCATCCTATATTGATAAGATGAATTTTCTCTTAGAAACATTATAAAGAAATACAAAACCCCACTCGACCAGAACAGGAAAATCAAATTAATTATCTATTATAAAAAAAATTTAAAACCGACAACCTCATTGTCAACAACTCACCTGAAAGTTCCAACTTACAGAGAAGCAAAATCATTTTGGAATTTACGTGTCTGTTAAGGAATTACGTTACTGAGCAAATCAAAGAATTATATCGGACCTACAACTACATGCTTATCAAGAAAGCTAACTTTATATCTCTCTGGCCATAGTTCAATTAGGACTCATTTAAACAGACACGGAAACGTATCAAACTCTGTCCACAACATACTCGTAGAAAACATTAATACAATAGCCTCATCCACATGTAAAAGAGACTAAAAATAAAGGAAATATTAATAATAAAAAAGAAAAAGCCAACACTCAATAATAACAACTATAAACACGGCCACAATTTGCTGACCGGGTTTACAAAATCAAAAAAACATTCCCATCGCTATACATAAGCACATCACAAAACTAACCTGGCCGCTCGTCTTTACAAAACACATCCCGCTCCCACCCTTACACTGTAGAAACTATTAAATGTATAAATCTTTTTTTTCCAATAGCTTCATACCTCACACCTCTTTAGGTGTGGAACACCCTTCCCAATTACTGTTTCTCTGAGAGCTATAATCTCCAACTATTCAGATGTAATGTCAATCGACATCTCCAGTTACCTTGACCTACCCACTATCCTTCTCCTCATCCTTTCTTCTATCACTCCTATCTGCTCCCGCTCCGAATCTTCTGCAACCCCCTGCATCCTAGTGGCTTCACGCCTTGCTCGGGGCGTAATGCTTAAAAAATCATAAATTTACTAATTTAAAAATATGGTTCCGTCACTACAAAGGAATTACCATGTTTCAAAAACAGAAACTAAAAGCTTCAAATTCAATTATAGAATTAAATTAAAATCCCTAGTCCTGTTTCATTTTCAAGCGAATTAGGGAGAAAAGAAAAAGGAAAAAGAAAGAAGAGGGAGAGGGAGGTAAAGAGAAAGAGGCTGTAAATGTGTTTTAGCAATTTATGTAAAGAATAGATTTTAATGCTTGATAGTATTTAGATATCTAAAAAAAAAACGAAGAAATTAATTTGATGTTTGCTATCAATTTAAATATTTAATTTTTTTACAAATAATTTAGGGATTTAATATAAGTTAAATACTATATTTATTAACACATTTATAGAGAACATATTAAAAAAAAATTTAAATTATAACAGTTTGTTTACCCGATCAATCGTACTTTTTTAATATTGTAAATAACAGTGATGGTAACATCTTTATCAGTTTGAATCTAATTTATGAATATAATTTGTAATTATTTTTATATGGGTAATCTTTCTTACTTAAAGTTCAGGTTTCGAATTAAAATTTTAATTCGAACCCTAAACTTTAAGTAATAATAATAGATTTTCTTAAAATATATAGCTGTCTACTCTATTGCGTTGCATGACCCTTGAACCGTCAAGAAGATTCATCCTCCCTTTTGGCAAGTTTAGTTTTAAATCATTCCGGGTGTCTATCCACCGTCCTCACCAGAAAAGCCTGGTGGAGTTAACAGTTTAGTCGCCGATGACCCGACCATATGGCACAGGCTTATACGGGACCAGTAGCGATTGTAGAGTGAATTGACATAATCTTCAACGTGTTGCCTCGTATCCGTGACCAATTCCGAGCCTTCAACTTGGAACACATCGGCTCTGTTTTGAACTGGAGAGAGATGGGCTCCGCCAGGTCTATTTGCCCAAGACTAGTTGGTTGGTGTTAGACACTTGTATGCTAATTAAACTGGTTAGGTTCTCAGATGCATAGAGACCTTACGACAACATCTGATCACGGGAATTATGAGGATGGGGAGGGGGCGGGTGAGGATGTTGATGCTATTTTTTGTGTGTGTTATTTTTTTTGCAGTAAGGTTCACAATGTACCAGGCCCGAGAGCCACTCGATGTAGACGATTAAAATAAGTGGTAGTTTATATGGATAGGAGGGAAAGATGACGGTTGACTCACTCTTTATGCGGATATATGAAGAATGTAACAGCTAACCCCCTAGATATGATCAGGTTAAGATTGTAGTGATCGGGGAAGCATCCTCTTGGGAGTCTGTTCCATAGAGCAGTGGTTCACGGGAAGAAGCTGATGGAGTACGAAGGGAATGTGGATTGTTTGCTGCTGTGTAATTGGCATGGCCGGGTTTGTCTGTAGCACATTTTTCGTCGTTAAAAAAAACGTATTTATAACTCATTCTAAGCTTTCTGAAATAAAAAGAGGAACATGACGATAGCTTAAAAACCACTTAACATGGTACTTTCAATATGATGGTGAAAAGGCCAGTAATAATGGATAAAAAGTAATATTGATGAAAGACAAAGCCACATAAAAAAATATCAGTGAATTTACACTAATTTCTATGATTGATATTACAATTAAAAAATTCCTGCAGGCTATAAAGACGGGCCTATTAGACACTCAGGACGAGAAAACCAGATCTTCTATTGATTGATGAGTAGTTTCAAATGTTTATATATATATATATATATATATATATATATATATATATATATATATATGTGTGTGTGTGTGTGTGTGTGTGTGTGTGTGTGTGTGTGAAAAGTATATATAAATATAAATAAATATATATATGTATAATTATTTATATATTATATGCGCGGTACTTATTAGAAAGCGCTCAATATCAGAGATAGAGCTAACATATTTGGTTGGATAGATGTGAGTATGTGACCCTGGGTTTCACGCTTTAGCGATCGTCAGACAAACTGATTAATGTTTTTAAAAATTTGGGTTTATGTAGATTGCATATATTAATATACACGCAATCTACATTTAGCTTAAATTACAATTATTTTTTAAAAAATATGATTCCATCGCTACATAAGAGTTTTCATGTTTCAAAAACAGAAGCAAAAAAAACCCAGCTCTGTTTCATATTTCAAGCGAATTTTTGAATTTCAATTCAATATATATATATATATATATATATATATATATATATATATATATATATATATATATATATATATATGACTGCATGAACTATTAAAAAATTTTATTTAAAATTGACCGATCAAAGATTGAATTCGACTTCACAAAATTTTGGAAAAAAATTTTTGGAATTTGAAAATATAAATGGATTTAACAATTTTAAAATATTTTTAGCATGAATGTGTCGAATACAAATCAGTGTTCTTGAATGAGAACCGGTATTCTCGAAACTACATATTAGTGTTCCCGAATACAAATCATTGTTCTTGAATACTAACCAATATTATCGAATACGCACCAGTAATCTCGAATACAAATCAATATTCTCGAATGCTAAGTGGTATTCTAAAATACACATCTAGAATAGCATCAGTATTCTCAAATACTAACCAATGTTCTCGAATGCACGTCTGTTTCAGATTTGAAATTAATGCATGCAAGATTTCACAAATCTAACATCACTCCTTCAAAGTCAGCCTATGAAGTTTTCGGTCTAGCCTCGTAAAATGGTTAAACACAGTGTCTTGTAAGATGTTTTCAATGAAACCTGTATAAAGGGATTTTATTAATATACAAGAATATATATATATATATATATATATATATATATATATATATATATATATGGTAGATAAGGATAACTTTCATATGATATTATATAATTATATAAAATATATATATATATATATATATATATATATATATATATATGAATAAAGTTTGAAAAAACATACAAATCCGTCAAATTTAATAGTCGAAAAAATAATATATATATAAATGTTTAGATAGGAAAAATGGATTATTGATTTATATAAATTTTGTATATATTATATATATATATATATATATATATATATATATATATATATATATATATATATATATATATATATATATATGAACAAAAATGAAAAATAAGAAAATGTAAAATACACAAATATATATATATATATATTAAGAAATGGACAAAGTCCGACAATTTATTTATTAAAGACATTTTTATGTTTAACGTTCTTTTTATAGATACACGTATGTAAATGCTCTGTTTATAATAAACGGTATTAACTAACATTTACTGACCTGAATGTCCGAGAAATTTTCATAGAAAATATTCGTCCTTATAGTTGGAGGGAGAAGAGAATAACACCTTTCCCCAGAATTATTTAGCAATAGTAACATAAATATAATGGATCAGATGAAAATTTTGAACTTGGCTCTCCATTTTTTATTTTTAATTTAATTTATCCATTACTCCATATATATATATATATTGGGGTAGATAAGGGATAACTGGACACAGATACTTATATAAGAATTAAATATAAATATATATATATATATATATATATATATATATATATATATATAATATATATATATATATATATATATATAGAGAGTTGAGAGAAAGAGAGAGAAAATGAAAAATATAGTCATAAGATATGCTATATTTATTTCATAAAATTAAAAAATATCAAGATAGTTTTATTCGATATACAAATGAATAATTTGATTTAATTAAATGTTCTGTAAAATGAAACATCAAATTGCTTAAAAGGAGA